TATTATGTCCAGAGACCGGAAGTCACAAGCCAGAGCCTGGAAGTGACGTAGGGAACCTCGGAGGGGTGAAGGTCACACTTACGGAGCTGTGGGCCTCTCGGAAGGCAGCCTCGATCTCCTCGTCTGTGTCGTGGCCTTTGGGCTCCTCGGTGCTAGGAGATCTCACCTGTGGAAAGGGGGCAGGGGGGGGGGCAGAGTTAGATTTGCTTTCTGTTCCTCCTCATTACCGTCGTTTGTCACTTTTAATTCTATCATTGAGATATAGTGTTTATTTTTTGGTCAGCTTTTGAGTGTGTTTGGTCGTCCAATGGTTAGGCTCTCGGACTCGAAACCGTAATATCGTGGGTCCGAATCCCGTCAGGGGCCCGACGTCGTGTCCTTGGGAAAGGCATTTTACACGAATTTTCCTCACTTCACCCAGTGGGAATGGGTACCCAGCTATAGACAGCGAAAGACCGTGTCAGTTTGTTAGTGTTTGGGGCGCCTTAACAGCTGCTTGCACTGTATGCTTCCCAGGATGCTGAGAATGTTTCTGAGTGTTCTATGGTCTGCTGGGGTAGATCTAATAATATAGTGTGCAAAGCGCATAGATCTTGCTGTAGAGCGGGGTTATTCTCTGTACAAATGCTATTTATTATTAAGAGTATGTACATACTTTAAAAGGATTCGGACAACAGAGATGAGATGTTACGGCAGACTTCTTGACATCTTATACAAAGACTACATTTCAAATGCTGCGGTACGGAACAGAATTACAAACGCAGTGGGGCAGCATGAAGGTCTACTGACCACAGTCAAGAGACAAAAATTAAAATGGTATGGGCATGTCACAAGATCCACAGGACTTGCCAAAACAATCCTACAAGGAACCGAACAAGGAAATAAAAAGAGAGGAAGGCAGAGAAAGATATGGGAGGACAACATCACAGAGTGGACAGGGAAGACGATGGGTGACAATCTGAGGAAAGCAGAGGACAGAGAAAAATGGCGAGAGTTGATTGTTTGTTTGTTTTAGTAGAGGTCTTACGGCGCTCGCAACTGCATAAGGTCATAGGAGCGCCAGAAGATTAGAGGTGTTACAAGAGAGTAACAAACATAAAAACGAAGAAGGGGAGATAGGGACGATAGATGTATGACAGGAAAGAAGAAGCAAACCACACCAGAGCACCCGCCAACCACCCACATGCAGCGGTGCCCCAACCACGGGATAAAAGAACAGACTCCCACACACTCAGCACAATAAAAGAAAAGTTTGCTCCGAGGAGTGGTCAGGCGTGTCTCAAACCAGCTCCCCGAGGAGACAATTAGCAGGAAGACCCTAAGGTGGACGCTGGAAAGGAGAGATGAGCAGCTATGGACATGTGCCGCCTGCTATGATTCTAGCTCTGAATCCAAGTAATTCCAAGAAAAACATACTTTCCCGACGTCTGCGCTCTTGGCCATCTCTTCCTGTGCGGCCCCAGGCGCGGCCGCGGCGCCGTCCGCCATCTCCTTGACCACCACGGGCGGCAGACGGATGACGTCAGAGTCGCTGGACTCCACGCCAGAAGCTGACGTGGTGCGCACACTCAGGTGGGTGGGGATCTGCCCCTGGAAGTCCTCGCTGCCCAGAACCACGTGATCAGCTGCACGTGCACGAGGGATGTGGTGCGGGGCGGGGTGGGTGGGGGTGGTGGAGTGGGGGTGGGAGGGGGAAAGGAGGGGGTGAGTGAGAAATTGCCGTCGACAAAATATACATTTTTCTGATTTGGTTTTGTGGGGTTTTTGTTTTTTTGTTTTAGTAAGAGTTTTACGGCACTTGCAACACAATAAGGTCATATAAGAGCCAAAGATTAAAGGTGTTACAAGAGAGTAACAAACACAAAAAAGAAGGAGGGGAGATAAAGACGATTTGTATATTATGTTCGACAGGAAAGTAGAAGCAAACCACATCAGAGCACCCGCCAACCACGCACGTTTTTGCTTTTGTTTGTCATTTCTTAGTACGGAGAAACACGTCAACTCGATATCGTTTATTTGTTTGTTTGTTTGTTTGTTAGAGTTAAGATAACACGACACGACAATCATCATATGTGAGGCAGCGTGGTGTAATCAGGCTCTCGTCAAAATAATCAAAGTGAAGAAACCTGCATTTTTCCTCTGGTTTGTGAATTTTTATCAATTTTTTTTTGGCTCAACACCTTGTATGCCGATTAAAGAACTCATTTCTGTGGAATGTTTCTGAAAAACGTTGATTAAAGGCACACAAAAAATGTAACTTTTCAGTTACCACGGACTCTTAAGCTAAGGAAATAACTAATCTTTGGCGGCCATTTTCTCACTAATTTTACGTCTGAAAACAGGTGACCCCACCTTCTTAATCTGCAAATATATATTCTTGTACTTAAGATAAATGAATATTTTTTCATCCCCCCCATAAAGACAACTGAACAATCTTTAAGATGATACCAATAACTCTATATGTTAAAAAATTGTCGAGAGCCTGATTCCACCACGCTGCCTCACATATAGAGCAAGGGAAGAAAACCCAAACAAACAAGAGGACAGACTGAAAGGAACAACAGAGGAGGCAGAGGAGAAGAGAAATACGACCTACCAGTGGCGCCATCAAACCACCTGCAAGGTCCATATAGTTTCGTTTTTGTTTCTATTTTTAGTAAAGAAAAGCACATCGACACAGCAATTTTCATTTAGGTGAAAAGGTGAAAAGGTTGGGGGGGGGTGGAGACAGAGAGAGAGAGAGAGAGAGAGAGAGAGAGAGAGAGAGAGAGAGAGAGAGAGAGAGAGAGAGAGACAGAGAGAGAGAGAGAGAGGGACAGAGAGAGGGACAGAGAGAGATCAGAGGGAACGTTAAAAAAGTTGGGTCAACCGGTGAGGCCCTTCAACGCGAAAATGTCGGGTCAAATTGGAGTTAACTGAGTTATCGTCATTTATGTTTAGTTTTAGTTTTAGTAAGAGTTTTACGGCATTTGCAACAAAATATGGTCATATAAGTGCTGAAGAATAGAGGTGTTACTAGAAAGTAACATACACAAAAAAGAAGGAGGAGAGATAAGGAAGATAGAGGTTTGGTAGAAAAAAAAGGAGCTAACCACACCAGGTTGGTCACATTTAATCAGATTTTCGTATAGGCCTGGATGCTCATCATCATCATCATCATTATCATCATCATCATCATCATCATCATCATCAACAACAACAACAACAACAACAACAAAAACCACAACGAAAACAACAACGACCACCACAACAACAACAACAACAACCACAACAAGAGACAACTCGTTTTATTTTCTGACCCACAATGGAACCTTCTGACCCCAAGCAGAGAAGAAGTTTAAAAAATATTTTTTTAAATATTAAAAAGTGAATTGTGCTGACTTTTTATAATTCAAAAAATTATTTAAAACACACAAACAGGTTCAAAAGTACGGAAAAGTAACACCTCTACCACGACCAAAAATTCCAAAGAACACGAGAAAATGTGAGAATAAAAAGCAGAGAAAAATATAATATCGTGGAAAAGAAATACTCCAAACGTGTGAGAAATGGATTTTTAAAGAATTTAAACGTATGAGAAATAGATCTTTAAAAAATTTAAACGTGAGCACAAAATAAAATAATTGACATTGAAAAATTACAAAGGAAGTAAGAGGATCCTCATTAATCACCAAACAGTCTCTGTCGCGTAGGATAGCTATGGAAACATTTAGTTTTGCATCACCAGAAGACACTCGAAACTTTTTGAATTGAAAATATAAAAAAAAAAAATCAAATTACATTGCCCAATGAGCCGACGAATTTCTCTGGTTGAAATGATCATATTATCTCATAAAACTGACAATGTCTCTAAGCAAATCAATTATACATAACACCGTGATTGAAACAATCATATGTCACATAGACAAGACATCATTTCACACAATGAGACCTACTGAGAATTTCCATAAGTCATCACCCGCCCCTCCCCCCCCCCCAAAAAAAAAGAAAAAAGAAAGAGAAAAAAGTAACCTCCCAAAACATTTCATTTGTCACATAATCTACATTATGAGTTAGAATAGCTCACAGAAAAAGGAAGGATACATTACTACTACAACAAGATTTCAAATCTAAAAGTATTACAGGAACTGTTACTTGAAGAAGCAATTAAATACACAGTGAGCTATGTTATAATATCTATAGTATAAGGCTCAAAAGGGCGCGGTGAGTGGGGTGGGTGGGTGAGTAGAACTTAGAAGGAAGAAGAGACACACACGAGTAGGTTATAATGGCAAAGTTACTGTAAGCCAATACATAAGTTGACATGGAGCTGTCCCGCAGATTAGAGTGTGGGGAGAGTGGGCAGGGTGGTGACGTGTACACAATATTATTTACAACAATACGCGTGACGTCACAGCAGAATAAAGCATACGAGTCAGGGGCGTTACAGCGCACAAGGAAAGCTTGAGAAGTGCACGCATGCGCGCGCGCACGCACGAACACACACACACACACACACAGAGACCGATACACACACAAACATAAACAGACCGACACACACACTCACAAACACACACATCAACACATACAGAGAGTGAACATGAACGGTAAGAAAACTCAACGAAGTAAATAATGAAAAGGACATGAAAATGAACAACAGAAGAACTTCATAAATGGTCGCTGTTAAGGACAAGCGGACTAACCCGGATTTCAGGGGTTTCCAAAAATCTTGACCAATACCAAAAGGGGGCACTGCCCTACCTATAGAAGAAGTTTGGTTTTATTGGTGTGTATATCTGTTTGGTTATAGAGAAAACTCTCCTTGTCTTTTAAAGAAACTGAACAAAGGGCAAAAACTTTACCTTCAATTTACTCAAAACAGCATTTTCAGGATAGCCCCCTTGTGCTTAAAAGCGACCAAAGAGACATGAAGGACATACAATCTCAGATGAACTCAGAAGACACCTATTTGAGGAGGAGGAAGAGGGGGAGGAAGAGGAGGGAGGGGGTAGATTGGACGACAGAAGAGCTCAACAAATAACACAACTAAACGAACGACATGAGAACGAAACAATTAGAAAAATTATAGGAACGTTTGATAAAATGACGCAAAAGACCTGGGATAAAACAAATAAAACAACTAAAGGGAGACTGTTACAATTTAAAAAATAAACCAAAAAAGAACGACCAAAGAACGAAAGAAAAAATGACTGACAGAAGAACGGAACAAAATAACTATTTTAAAAAGTTTGTTAAAATGGAAAAATGAATGATAGTAGATCTCAACAAGCAAATACAGGACAGAATAGATGACCCCCCCCCCCCC